AGGTTAACCAGAAACCCTCAACGGCTAAACAATTCTCTATCGTCGGTTTTGGTGGTGCCATTGCATCTCTTATCCAGGTTCTCGCTACTCTTGCGGAGTGGGCTTATGTTCCTCGTCGATGGGCTGGTGCGCAGCATCTCACCAAGCGACTCCTGTTCTTGCTCTTTATCCTCGTTCTCAACATCGCCCCTGGTGTAAAGGTTTTCATGTTGCCGAAAATTGGACCTGAGAAGATCAACACCGCTATTGGTATCGTTCACTTCATCATTGCTGTGATCACGTTCATCTTCTTCTCTATCATGCCCCTCGGAGGTCTATTTGGCAGCTACCTGTCTACCAATAGCAGACGCTACGTTGCTAGTCAGACATTCACTGCTAGCTGGCCAAGACTCCGTGGCAATGACATGGCAATGTCCTATGGTTTGTGGGCGACAGTATTTGGTGTGAAGATGGGTGTCTCGTACACTTACCTGATTCTTTCGTTCCGTGATCCCATCCGATACTTGAGCATCATGAACGTCGACTCTTGCCTGGGTGACAAGACCCTCCTCGGCAATCAACTTTGCCGCTGGCACCCAACAATTGTCCTGGCCCTGATGGCCTTCACTGACGTTATCTTCTTCTTCCTCGATACTTACCTTTGGTATGTCTTGTTGAACACCGTCTTCTCGGTTTCACGATCGTTCTATATCGGATCCTCCATCTGGACACCCTGGCGCAACATCTTCTCTCGCCTTCCTAAGCGTGTTTACTCCAAGGTTCTAGCAACGACAGACATGGAGATCAAGTATAAACCAAAGGTTCTTATTTCGCAGATTTGGAACGCCATCGTTATTTCCATGTACCGTGAGCATCTTCTTGCGATCGAGCACGTTCAGAAGCTTCTTTATCATCAGGTTCCTTCTGAGCAGGAGGGCAAGCGAACTCTTCGTGCACCTACTTTCTTCATCTCTCAGGAAGATCACTCTTTCAAGACCGAGTTCTTCCCTGCCTACAGTGAAGCTGAGCGCCGCATTTCCTTCTTTGCGCAATCCCTATCAACTCCTATTCCTGAGCCTCTGCCCGTTGACAACATGCCTACTTTTACAGTCATGATCCCCCACTACAGCGAGAAGATCCTTCTTTCTCTGCGTGAAATCATTCGCGAGGATGAGCCTTACTCTCGTGTTACACTCCTGGAGTATCTGAAGCAGCTGCACCCTCACGAGTGGGACTGCTTTGTCAAGGATACAAAGATTTTGGCCGATGAAACTTCGCAATACAACGGCGAGACAGATAAGAACGAGAAGGACACCGCCAAGAGCAAGATCGACGATCTTCCCTTCTACTGCATTGGTTTCAAGTCTTCCGCACCCGAGTACACCCTTCGTACTCGTATCTGGGCGTCTCTTCGTTTCCAAACCCTGTACCGCACTATCTCTGGTTTCATGAACTACAGCCGTGCCATCAAGCTCCTCTACCGTGTCGAGAACCCTGAGGTTGTTCAGATGTTCGGTGGTAACACCGACAAGCTCGAACGTGAACTTGAGCGTATGGCTCGCCGCAAGTTCAAGATTGTCGTTTCCATGCAGCGATTCTCCAAGTTCAAGAAAGAAGAGATGGAAAATGCCGAATTCTTGCTCCGCGCCTACCCTGACCTTCAAATCGCTTACTTGGACGAGGAACCCCCGGTTGCTGAAGGCGAAGAACCCCGACTTTACTCAGTTCTTATCGACGGCCATTCTGAAGTTATGGAGAACGGCATGCGACGCCCCAAGTTCCGTGTTCAACTCTCTGGCAATCCTATTCTTGGTGACGGAAAGTCCGACAACCAGAACCACTCCATTATCTTCTACCGTGGCGAGTACATCCAGCTCATCGATGCCAACCAGGACAACTATCTCGAGGAGTGTCTCAAGATTCGCAGCGTTTTGGCCGAATTTGAAGAGATGAAGACTGACAATGTTTCCCCATACACTCCTGGTGTCAAGAACGACGTTAGCTCCCCTGTGGCCATTCTCGGTATGCGAGAATACATTTTCTCAGAGAACATTGGTATTCTTGGTGACATTGCTGCCGGTAAGGAACAAACATTCGGTACTCTCTTCGCTCGAACTATGGCTCAAATCGGTGGTAAACTTCATTACGGCCATCCCGATTTTCTCAATGGTATTTTCATGACAACGCGTGGTGGTGTCTCCAAGGCTCAGAAGGGTCTGCATCTAAACGAGGATATTTATGCTGGTATGACTGCCATCCTTCGTGGTGGACGAATCAAGCAATGTGAATACTTCCAGTGTGGTAAGGGTCGTGATTTGGGTTTCGGTTCCGTCCTCAACTTCACAACCAAGATTGGTACTGGTATGGGTGAACAGTTCTTGTCCCGCGAGTACTACTATCTCGGCACTCAACTTCCTCTCGATCGATTCTTGTCCTTCTACTACGCTCATCCTGGTTTCCATTTGAACAACATGTTCATCATGTTCTCCGTTCAGATGTTCATGATTACAATGGTCAACCTGGGAGCTCTTCGCCATGAGACAAAGCCTTGCGAATACAACCGAAACGTCCCCATCACCGACCCTCTGTACCCGACTGGTTGTGCCAACACTGATGCCCTCACCGACTGGATTTACCGATGTATCGTTTCCATTCTTTTCGTTCTTTTCCTCTCTTTCATCCCTCTTATTGTTCAGGAGTTGATGGAGCGTGGCTTCTGGCGCGCCTTCGTCCGATTGATGAAGCAATTCTGCTCGCTCTCGCTCATGTTCGAGGTTTTCGTCTGTCAGATCTATGCGAACTCTGTGCAGCAGAACATTTCGTTCGGTGGTGCGCGATATATTGGTACGGGTCGTGGTTTTGCCACTGCACGTATTCCCTTCGGTGTCTTGTATTCTCGATTCGCTGGGCCAGCTATTTACTTCGGCGCTCGTTTGCTCATGATGCTTCTCTTCGCGACTCTGACTGTCTGGAAGGGTGTTTTGATCTATTTCTGGATCACACTTCTTGCTCTGACCATCTCGCCCTTCTTGTACAACCCTCACCAGTTCGCATGGACTGATTTCTTCATCGACTACCGAGATTACCTCCGATGGTTGTCCCGTGGTAACTCACGAAGCCACGCCTCGTCTTGGATTTCTTACTGTCGTTTGTCTCGAACTCGTCTTACTGGTTACAAGCGAAAGGCTCTGGGAGACCCCTCTGCTAAGATGTCTGCGGATGTTCCTCGCGCTCCGTTCGCCAACATCTTCTTTAGCGAGATTTTCTCTCCTCTCATGCTTGCCGTTGTCACGATTCTCCCCTATCTGTTTATCAACGCCCAAACTGGTGTTGCCCAGGCCCCTCAGAAGGACACCGTCAAGGGTAAACCCGAGGCAACTGACTCTCTGATCCGGCTGCTCGTTATTGCCTTTGCCCCTATTGCTGTTAACGCAGGTGTCTTGGCTGCTATGTTCGGCATGGCCTGCTGTATGGGTCCCCTACTCAGCATGTGCTGCAAGAAGTTTGGCAGTGTTCTCGCCGGTATCGCTCACGCTACTGCTGTTATATTCTTGTTGATCTCCTTCCTGGGTATGTTTGTTCTCGAGGGCTTCAACTTTACCCGCACACTGTCTGGTATGATTGCCGTTACTTGCATCCAGCGCTTTTTCGTCAAGCTCATTGTGTCTCTTGCCCTTACCCGTGAATTCAAGGGCGACACTGCCAACATTGCTTTCTGGACCGGAAAGTGGTACTCCATGGGATGGCACACCATCTCTCAGCCTGCTCGAGAGTTTCTCTGCAAGATCACCGAATTGTCCATGTTCGCAGCCGATTTCGTTTTGGGTCATTGGCTGCTCTTTTTCATGGCACCTGTCATCTTGATTCCCAAGATCGACATGCTCCACTCTATGATGCTGTTCTGGCTTCGCCCAAGGTATATCTTATCCTTTGCTTGTTATGTTTTGAATTTGCCCTAACCTCAGAACAGTCGCCAAATCCGACCTCCCATCTACTCGATGAAGCAATCCAAGCTTAGACGCAGACGTGTGGTTCGTTACGCAATCCTCTACTTCACGCTTCTCGTCGTTTTCATCGCTTTGATTGCTGGCCCTATTGTGGCTGGCAAGTACATGCCACCCAACACGATCAGCGATGCCCTCGGCAGTCTGCCCTTCAATCTTGTTCAGCCTAACAACCTCAACAATGACAACACCAACAGCACCATGGCTACTGGTACAGGAATGGTTGGCTACACCGGTGCTGGCCTTACGAAGACCAAGACTGGCGCTGATGCCTCGGCAACCGGCAAGATCAAGCTGTTCTAAGTGGGAATATTCAGACAGGCCCATTTGGAGGTGCCTCATGGGGGAGATGTCCCTGGCTTTTCTCCGCTGACAGAAAAATTGTGGAAATGGGAAGTTTTTGTTTTTTGCTTGTTTTTGTTTTCAGTTCAGCAGTTTGAGTGGATGCACGTGCATACATAGGTTGAAGTTTTATAGAAGATGGTGGGAGATGGGAGAGATACAGAAGGAGGAGGTTGGCATAAGTCAGACCTGACATTCACTGGCTGAACTGGACTGATCTTTTTTGGTACAAGGCGCACTTCTTTTTTTTTTAAACTATTATAATGTGTACAATGAAAGGAAGAAACACATCCATGGCAGAAACTCTAGACCTAAATGCAAATAATGCCTCTTGAACATTCTTTTCATTTCATTTATACTACTAGCCTACGCTCTCCATAGAAACCAAAAATTGTAAGAGGTATTCTAGTCTACGGTACTGCCCACGACGCTTGTGATTTTGGTTGGTTTATTTCAATGTGTGTAAGCCAATTTTACGTATTCCCATTCCCCGGGCTATCCGATGACCCCTACACTTGCCCTGTAGTGGATGGCCTGTGGTCTTATTGTTTCTCACCTTCAGGTACCCGTTGAGCCCCTGTTAGATATGGATCCTTAGTACAGCCAATCAGCCTGCGGCCTGCGGCTTGACTCGCTTCGACGTTAGAGGCCCTTTGTAGACCCATGTACCTATGATGGACCTTGACTTGACAATTCAGAATCCTCGGTTGACGTCCATTTTAACTCCTTTCAACAACACGCTTCCAGTCCAAACCAATATATATTCTCACGACCGGACGAGACGAGACGCGACGCAAGATCGATAGAAGTTGACGTAACCATTCAAGACAATTGGAAACAAAAAAACATGGAACTCGATGCCCTCCAAGCCCGGGTGGGCGAAATCCTCGAACAGGCCGCCGTCTACTTCCATAAAGTCCCTGGTTCTGCAGTATTTATGCGCTACATCCAGTCGAGTTATCAGAACGACCCCGTGCGATCCGCCATTGAACTTGTGCTGCTTCTCTTCTTTATCCGCTATCTCCTGTCGCCTTCTTACTCGACCCGTAAGCAGAATTACATCAAGTTGAGAGAGGAGGTGAGAACACAGCCAGATCCTTAACCCCCGCAGGATTGAAGTCGCTAATGTTGGCTTCTTCGTAGGAAATCGAAGAGTTGATCGATGAATGGCAGCCCGAGCCTCTCGTCGTCGAGCAGACTCCATTTGAGGTGGCTGAAGCCGAACGTCTTCCTGTCCTTGTTGGGTGAGCATCATCAAGTCTAATCACATGCGCAATCTAGTCAGGATCAGCATCTGATATTTCTATAGCCCTACCGGTCCCAAGACTAAACTCGCCAACGGCCGAACTGTTACCAATCTCGCATCCTACAACTTCTACAACTTCAACGGCAATGATCAGATTAAGGAGAAGGCTATCCAGGTTCTGCGCACCTATGGTGTTGGCCCTTGCGGCCCTCCCCAGTTCTACGGTACCCAAGACGTTCACATGAAGACTGAAGCCGACATTGCCGCGTATTTGGGCACCGAAGGCTGCATCGTCTACGCTCAATCCTTCAGCACCATCTCTAGTGTCATTCCCTCTTTTTCCAAGCGTGGCGACGTTATCATCGCTGATCGTAATGTCAACTTCGCTATTCGCAAGGGTCTCGAGCAATCGCGAAGCACCATCCGCTGGTATGAACACAATGACATGGACGCTTTGGAAGACGCGATGAAGGCTGTCGCCCGGGAGCAGGCCAATGCCAGGAAGCTTACCCGTCGTTTTGTCGTGACCGAGGGTTTGTTTGAGCTCTCTGGAGATTCTATCGATTTGCCCCGCCTGGTTGAGCTTAAGGAGAAGTACAAGTTCCGCGTTATTCTGGACGAGACCTGGTCTTTTGGTGTTCTCGGCCGTACCGGTCGTGGTATTACTGAGGCGCAAAACGTGGACCCCCAACAGGTTGACATGATCATTGGTTCCCTTGCTGGACCTCTCTGTGCCGGTGGTGGCTTCTGTGCTGGTCCCAAGGATGTTGTCGAGCACCAGCGTATCACATCTTCTGCGTATACATTCTCTGCCGCTCTCCCTGCCATGTTGGCTGTCACCGCCAGCGAGACCCTCAACTTGCTCCAGTGTAACCCTGAAATCCTGGCACAGTCCCGCGAGAACATCAAGGCTATGAGGGCCCAATTGGATCCCCGCAGTGATTGGGTTTACAGCCCAAGCGACCCCGAGAACCCTATCATGCTCCTTGTCCTCAAGCCTGAAGTTGTGGCTGCCCGTAAGCTCGGACTGGAAGACCAAGAACGCATCTTTTTGGACTGTGTGGAAGAGGTACGTGCATCGGACACTGAAACATGAACGAATATGAACTGACCCTTGAACAGACTCTTGCCAACGGCGTCTTGATCACAAGAACCAAGACCAGACCTTATGCGCATGCTGTGAAGCCCAAGGACGGCGCGTGGTTTGCCCAGCCTGCTCTTCGAATTTGCGTTACATCAGCACTGTCTAAGAAGGATATTGAGAAGGCCGGTGTGACTATTCGACATGCTATCACCAAGGTCATGACACGAAAGACGAGCACCAAGACCGCCTGATTCAGGGGCTTAACGGATGATAATTTTGATGACAGATGGAGGCTGGCTGAATGCATGTTATACAGCTGAGCATAGTCGATAAAGGCGTCGCGCTACACTGAGACCTTTTTGATTATGATGGATAATCAGCCAACGCAATAGACGAGGGGCAATATGGAACGATTTACAAAGTGGCTGGCAGCCATTTAACAAGCTAATGATTAATAGATGCGGCCCTCGTACGCTAGCATTGAATGAATATTTTCGATATAATGGTTTTGTGTCTTTGTGGGCTCCGTGATTAGGTGGTGATTGATCGGTTTCGTATCATGGTTTTGATGCTGACGAGGGGAAATTCTCAAGAAACCTTAACGTGTATTTGTCTGCTTCAGTTACTCACAGTCGATGAAGTCGTCTTTGCCAAGTTACTGTTTTCGAATATAAAAATTATGTGAGATAGAGAAGCAGACGTCAGCTGTCTCGCGGGTTTTATGAGCCATCCCTTGCCAAGTCACGCCGATGCTGCCAGCTTACAGCCATCCATCAAGGACTCTAGCCTGACAACAGAATCACCAAGGACACACATGCAGAAGAAGGATCACAATTGGCAGAACCGCAGTCTCAGTTTCACAGTTTATTTTATCAGACGGACGAGGAACCATTTCAACTCGCAACAGGACTCTGGGCATGTCTCAGACGTTGCATTCCTTGGGAGATTACAGGTCTCGAAATTACGCGCCATGTAAAGAAATCACCTCATTCCAAGAGTCGGGAGCGTCGTGGCCTCTTTTGGTGATTCATTTTTAAGCTTTATGTTTTTGGGCAGTTTGAGTTGTCGAGTTCCATGTTCTGAGTGAGTTTCTGCGTTCGTGTGTCTCATATTCTGGGAGCGGGCTTGAGTGTGAATAGGGAGAACAAGGGATGAAGTCTTATAAATAAGGTAAAGCCAAGCCAATGGAATTTAGGATTTCAGGATGAAACTCACGGACTGAAAGGAATTACGGAGGTGAAGAGCGTCTCACTTGTCTCTTGCAGGGTCAAGCTTAAGCTCAACACTTACAAACGGTAGGCTCAACACGTGTCTTACCGTACCGTACTGTGTCGTTCCTTCTTGTTTTCTTTTGCTTATCATTGTAGAGAGGCCCCTTCCTCCCTTGTTTTGACGTCTCCTCTTTTTCTACTTTACCTCTCCACCTTCAATTTCGCTCTCGTCTCTCCATCTTCTTCTTCATTCATTCACTCCTACAGTCGTTTTTTTCTTTTCCTACTTACAATCACTTCCTAAGATTCGTCATTCTTTGATTCTTCTTTTCAGTTCTACACACACTCTTTTCCTCTGAATCCTATTCATTCTTGGATAGCGGGTTGTTAAGCCCCGTCTTATACAGCCATTTTCTCAAATCACTGACCTTTAAAACCACTATTTGAGCTCGTTGTAGCAGCTCGTTCACTCTCTAACAACTCTCCAAACTACTAAAATACGTACGGTTTTATAAAATATTTAACAAAATGTCGATGAAACGTTTCTTCACTTCGGCGGTTGCCATGGCGGCGGTTGTTGCTGCTGTTCCTGTTGGTGAGTCTTCTCCTGACCAGTTTGTAACTCGAAGCTGACAATCCCAATAGCCCGTCCGCTCGAGAAGCGAGAACCGTATGCCTTTCTTGTGACACGAAACCGTGGTTTTGACTAATAATATTGTAGCGTCACGACTATTACTCTGACTTCGGCCTCTACCTACACCGCAACTATCGCTCCTGCTACCCCTGTCACTCCTACAGGAACTGCAACTTACCCAGGAACTACAGCTCCTGTTCCTGATAGCCCCAAGCCACCTAAGAACGGCAAGCCTGACGATTCCTGTAGCTCCACAGGCACTTGCGGATCTGGTAGCGGTGGCAGTTCATCCGGTTCTAAGCTCCCTGGTGTCGCATATGCCCCCTACCGAGGCGATCACCAGTGCAAATCGAAGGACGAGATCCAGCACGATATTACGCAGCTCGCAGCTGATTTTTCAGTCCTTCGTATCTATGGCACCGACTGTGACCAGGTCGCCAATGTCTACTCATGCGCCAAGGGTAGCGGCTTGAAGCTGTTCCTCGGCATCTGGAACATTGACGACGTTCAAACTGAGGCCAAGACCATCATCAGTGCAATTGACGACTGGGACGTCGTTGACACCATCAGCGTTGGCAATGAACTTGTCAACAACGGAGCTGCCAGTCCAGCAAAGGTCATCGCCGCTGTCAAGCAGGCTCGTGAGATCCTTCGTACCGCAGGCTACCAAGGCCCCGTTGTCACAGTTGATACTTTTATTGCTGCCAATGCCAACCCTGAACTTTGCAACGAAAGTGACTACTGTGCTATCAACGCTCACGCCTTCTTCGATGCCAACACTTCTGCTGATGAAGCTGGCCAGTGGCTCTCCAACACTGTTGAAGACCTTCGATCCAAGATTTCTGGCGACAAGCGCATCGTCATTTGCGAGACTGGCTGGCCTACCAAGGGAAACAGCAACGGCAAGGCTGTTCCAGGTATGAGCCAACAGAAGGCTGCTCTTGACTCTATCAAGCAGGCATTCTCCAGCCACATGGGAGACTTGATCCTCTTCTCTGCCTTCAACGATCCCTGGAAGAAGGCCGAAGCCGCAACTTTCATGGCCGAGCAATGGTGGGGTATCGAAGGCCAGGACTCAGTTTCCAACAAGGACCCGTCGTCTTCTAACTAGGGAATGGCTCCCCGATTTGTCATGTCAGTTAGACCTTCAAATATTTGAATGGTTTGCGGTCACGTTTTACTCCGAGATAACGCTCGACTTATGTTTTTTCTATGATGTTTAATGGTTTATTGTTATTGCTTAAGGGTTGTGGATGCCGATTATCAGGTGGCCGTTGCAAGGCTGTACGAGCCTATCATCTTGGGAGGTATGTTGGAGGTTTGTCTGCTTTTTCTCTTCAAGTTCCAAGTACCTCATCACACCACCTCGCTTTATGGCTACTCTTTTAGAGATGAGAAAAGAATTACACTTTGTATTTGTTACTCGAATTGAAATATCCGTTATACAATTTGAACTTGAATTTAGCTTGATGATGAAGTAACAATGAATGAGTGACTTAATCTCAGCATATCTGGCCCCTGCAACATGACTTCAAGTTCAGAATACGATCGAGCTCAAGAAACAACGTTGCTGAATTGCCTAAATAAATCAGAGAGTGTGATTGCCTCCAAATCCTCCGCCTCGCGTCGATGACTTCGTTAATCATGAAAGACTATACCCATTGCACTCCTTGCTAGCCCAATAATTTGCTCCTAATGCATAAAGCATAACAGAATATGAATCTTTGTACCATCGCAGTTATTGGCCCAAGAGCTTTTCCCCTCATCAAGCAGAATCGAGTTCCACAGTTGCTGCAGTGCCGCTCGAGACCTCAGCCAACTTGTCTAAGGCTGGCAAATGCATAAAAAAACCTAAGAAATAGTTTGCTCGCCATGAATGACAAGTATATTGTTAAATAGAATGTAACAACAAGGTTTGGGACGCAATATGGAGAGAGTGGTCGTTAGATGTAGACCACTAGCGATATTAGGATAAAGACCTAATACAGCAGACGAGGAGACGAACACGCAAAATCTTTGCTTCTGCGTAGGAAGGTAAAAAGAAAAAGAAAATAAGGCATCAGATCTCACATCGTCCAGAAGTCATAGCAAGCTTAAGATCAGTTACCTCAAATGATGGGGATATCTCAAAAAGTCCGTTCTGGGACCAAGATCGTTAAACACGCACCCATCAGGCTCCCATCAAGCGGCCCTGCGTATTTCAGCAGGAGGCGCGACGGGATGAGTTTAGCAGATCCAAAGTTCGTCAAGAAACTGGTCGAGTTCGATGATGCGGAATCGGGAGCCGATGCTCTGGTCCCTCAAAAGAGTAGTCCAAGTAGAAGAAAGACTGGCTTTCCAGGAAACAACCTCAACGCTCCAGCCCATTTTCAGAGCGCGTTGGGCTTGTGTCAGGAAGCCGTCCGAATACTTGGCCGGCCGAGCATCACCAGTAGCGATGACAAGCGTGCCGGGCTCCTCGAAATACTGCATAACAGACTCGCTGATTCTAATTTGGAGGGTTTCGTCAACCATGTCTTCGACATAACGGAAGCCGCCGGCTTCGAATGTGTTGTGGTCATCAGCACCAGATTGCTCAGGACGACGACTGCGAAGGTCGACGCGGTAGCCAAGATCCTTGAGTTCTTGGACAAAAGAAGGCTCGTTGCGGTTGGGACGCACAGAGCAGCCAACGTTGAGCCATTCCGCGTATCGATCGCGAGCGAGAAGTTCGTGAAAGAAAGCAAGGTTCATTTGTGGGAGTGGGACAAAGCGCGAAGACTCCGGCAAACCAAATTTGGCTCTTAGGGCCTTTTGGAAACCAATGATGATGTTGGACATGTCGACAAAGACATGAATTCCATTTTCTGCGATGGTTGGATAATCTTTGCAGATCATAGAGTCTATGACACGCTCATGGACGAGCTTTCTCATGAGGCCCTCATGCTTGACCACCGTGGTCTGCACGCTACTGTGAATCTCAGTAAGGGGGCCATACTTGAAATGCTGATATGAGATGATATGTCTGACATGGTCCGATTGAATGCCACCCAAGACCACTATATTGGGTTCAGAGCTATCTCTGGAATGCGATTTGCCCTTGCCCGAATTTGAACTTTTCTTGCTCTTTTTGGTTTCGTCAAAATGCTTAAGCGGAGACTCGCTTGAGCTTGGTGGTGTTGAGGCAGCAGTTGAGTAAGACGTGGCAGGTAGCACATCAGTGTCAGAACCGCATCCAGCCTCTGAGTCGGTAATGGGATCGAAGTTGGGCCGGGTTGATTGGAGGGGTTCATTCTCCTCTTCTTCAAACATGTCTTCCTTCAGAACAGTCTCCTTCTTAATTCGAAGAGCCTTTCCAGTTCGCTTCTTGTGGAGTTCGCTTGCCATCCCGTCAGATTCAATATGGACCTCAAGGCTGTGGTCCGGTTGCCTTGAGGTGGCAAGACATGCTTGCTCATGGTTATTTTCATGGGAATGTTTAGGCCCAACCGAGGATCTGGGAATACTGTCTGCACTGTTGGTGGAGTGCGGTACAGAAGGTCGCTTCAATATCGTGATCGGCTGTACCTTTGAAGAAGCCAATGGCTCTCGCTGCTGTTGGGATGATTCATTGTCATTGATACGGATTTGCTGGAAGAGCCGTTTGAAGTTTCCAAGGGACGGGGTTGAATCGAAAGACTTTGCATTCTTGGGGGAGGCCCAGTCCGTAAGGCTGTTCGAATTCAGCTTGGTAAAGTCACCAAGCTTGAGTCTACCGTCATGTGCAACATTATTTGCAGGCTTACTGCTACCCGGCGGCTCGTGAAGAGGATCGTCTGTTGAGTTTGCCGTTGGAGATGCCATAATAACCATCAAGAGCGACTACGCACATAGATGCGAGTTGGTGGTTGTAGATGAAGTTGGTGAGCTGCTCAACGCCAATCCGAGACGTGAGAGTATTGCTGAAGTGTTTTCCAAGTATTGACCAACAGTGCCGGTAAAGTGAATTATCCAAAGTTGCAATTGCAATTTGCTAGGACCGTAGAAAATGGTAAAGCCAAGAAGGTATTGAGAAAGCGATTTGCCACAACTGAGTATCTAGAATCGCCGCAGAAGCAAGACCCAGAATGAGCTGAAACAAAAACGGACGTCGCGTAGTATAACAGAAAAGGGAACTCGAAATAGCCAAACACAGTCTGGGATGATTCAAAGGTCAAATCCAATGCGTCAGATTTTGCCGCTTGATGAAGCCGAGTGAGATCAAGTGCGGAGATCGAGCTACTAGAATATCATGAGGTCACAAGAAGGGAGAAGTGTGAACCCAATCAAGGCCGTGTTAAGTAGGATACGGATCAAAGACAGAGAACAAAGAATATAATAAAGAAAAGTTGCGCAAAGACTCGAGTCAAGAACAAGGATCCGAATATAGGGAACGAGGAAATACGAACGTTAAACCATTGACGAAGAATGGATGAGATGAGATGAATGATGAGTCAATTCACCATGAACTGAGGCTACCTATGGATGGCTTTCCGGGATCCGGGATGGCATGTTCCTAGCCAATCAGATCACGACATATGTGGCATAAGTCCTGTAACTCACGTGTCCGTTGCCACCACCCCAAACGTCGATCCAAGTGGCTGAATACTCGATATACTCGGTACGACAGTAGCACGACAAAGATCAAGTCTTTGAAGCGAAACCGGAGATATTGTGTTTACCATCATCACTTCACAGCATTTAGCGACTTGCGATAGAGCAAAGATTTGCCAAATTTCTATCTCTGCTCCTCACATTGTGTCCATCCTAAGTTCATATGTGCCAGATGCATCCATCCCTCTGAATAACCAGGCCCTAGATAAAGTGAGAATGGAAATCTTGAATCCTGCTTATGCTCAACAATTGGAATACATATGCATCAACAAGAAGTTTGCGAATACTGCCTGATTCGCAAATTCAAATAATCCGAAGCTGCCCCTGTTCCATTGAACTAACTTATTGTACCTTTGATATAGCCTGTTTCTTTTTTCTCTTTCGGAATTATGAGCAGACAGTGCTTTGAAAGGAAATGACAACCATACTTGGCATCTTCCCTGGCAAGACTTGCATAATGATATCCATAGCTAAGCTCCATTGCCATCACCTTCGGAAATCGATACTAGCTCGAGATGAGTCCAGGCTTGGTCGCACCGAGCTGCTTGAGCTTCGTCTTCGTCTCGCTCGCTGTTCGTTGGGGTCGGAAGGGTGCAAACCAGTCGATTTCGCAAACATGTTGAGGACATCAGTTAACGAGATAACACCAGTAAGTCTTCCTGAAAGACGAGCCCCGGCCATGGCGGATGCGGGCACAGCAGCTGTAGGGACTGGAGAAGCAGGTACTGCTGCAGTAGGGACAGGTGATGGGGGTGCAGCAGAAGGTGGAGGACCGGCGGTCGTGAAAGATTGGGGTCCCATTAAAGGTGTTGCAGGAGCTGAAGGGGATGGTGACGCCGATTCAACCACCCACATTCGATGCGATCGAGTAGCAACGAGCTTGGCGACGGTATGGGCCAGAGTCGAGTAGGGGTTCACGTAGAATACGGGGAAGACGTCGCGTCCGTGTTCAACTCCTCGCTCGTTGAGAATTACAGAAATGAAGTTCATGCATGACGAATTGAGTAAATGGGCGTTGGAACTCTTGGTTAAGTGGCGGACGTCCTTGGTCGAGATATTGCCCACCACATTCATACCGTTATCAACAACAGCAACGCTTGTAAGGCCTTCATTGTTCATAAGCGTCAGTGCTTCAGATAAGGGCGAATCGGAGCTATGACTTGTTAATACTTATCATTTTGAGATTGTACAGAAACTCACTTGACAGAAACAATCTCCTTGGCCCCAACACCCAGATCACGCAGCAAAGCAGGGTAAAGTCGATCGATAGAAGGAAAGTTGACACCCTCGTTCCAGAAAAACTCGACAATTCGAAGTTGGCTTGCGATACCAACCACCTCGCCGCTAGTAGTTGTCACCAGCAGACGATGGATGCCACTGCCGAGAATTTGAATAGCCTGTGCGAGCTTTTCGTCACCAGGCAACGTGATGAGTGTTTCCTTGCGGAAAAGAGGGAAGACGTCTCGCAGAGGAATCTGGCCACCCTCCTGAGCCTTGGCCAGAATCGAATTGAATAGCTCAACCTGATCTTCTTCGGGTTTGGCGAGACCAACGACAACGAGTAGGTATGCGTTCAAATCGGTATAATCGAATGTGGAAACGGCGATATGAGTGGAGGGATCCTCGCGGACCAGAACAACGTTGGTAGGGCTCTTGAGGAGGAGCTGCGAGTCATAATTAGCATGGCTATTCGGTTATTGAAGGCGCATGTTGGTGCCTATATTGAGTGACATTCAGAGTTTCGGTCTCACCTTGGTAGCCTCCTCGACGCTGCTATCGAACTCAACCCATTTGACATCATCGGGAGATACAAGCTCTCCAATAGCTACATCGCGCCAATCACGGCCGGCAAATCTGGGGTTGGCATGCTTGTTTCCTGCAGGAGGATGGTTCAACAACTCCTGGAGAGCGGCCTGTGTAAAAGAAGGGTGCCGTTGAGAGCGTGGGGATGAGGGCGCATTGCGCAAGCCCTCAGCGAAGCTTGCGCGGTGGGCGGATATGGAGCTTGGGCCAGAACCAGCGGATATAGATACAGAAGGAGATCGCTGAGAAAGAGTAGGTGGCTTATGAGTAGACGAAGAGCCCGAAGCAGCACTGTTGAGGCTGGTCGAGCTGGTTGCGCGAGTGTCCTTGAGCTCGCGGGAGGTTGAGCTCGGTGAGGGGTCCATGGTGGAATCGTTTCGATTTAACCAGGTGATGAATTGACTGATGTTGAGATTTGATAGATAGGTTTGGCAACAGGTGATGGTTCAACACGACCTGGGCGAACAAAAGAGCGCTGTATGTATTGCAATCGAGAGACAGATGAGAAGATAATGGCGAATGTTTTGTCGCGACAATTGCAAAGATGAAATGGTAGTGTGCACAGAGATGGGCGAAGGCGAGACGAGACAAGACGTGGGAGTGGACGCGGGGCGCAGGTAGGATAAGAGAATGGTTCGAGTTGAATGGATCCCGATATTCAAGTCCAATATTGGAAAGTGGTTAGAGTTAGAGTCACAAACTAAGAATCAGGATACAAAAGATCAGAAGACATTTATTTGCCAAGGACGAGGCGATCGATAGATGAAGTGGAATGGTTTTTTCTGCCTCTTGCTGTGGAGGTTGGTCTGGAGATGAGACTTGTCTGCGAGGGGCACGAGGTTACAATCCAAAGCCATGAGTGGGCGGGGGAACGTTTTGCATGATGACATAGGCCGCCTAAAGTAAAGGTGGGCGAGCGGGCGATGGTGGAGTGCCCCGCGATGGATGAGTCGGGGACGGGAGCTCAATCTTCAGCGTAAAACTTACTGATAGAGAAGTAACCCGACCTGAGAAGGTGGAAGAAACTACCACTAAATAGATGCAATCCTATACTTCGGCATTCGATCTCTCATGCAGCTGTGAGTACTATTTAGGAATTGATTTACACCAATATCAGATAATCCATTCCAGCACCCAACCATGTTCATGCATCCATGCATCCATCCATCCTCACAATGATCCGGCAGAGCTATGGCGGAAGCTTCTACGGCCAAAGATGATCATCGCTCACTAGACTCGACTAGAAAATGCGGATGTCTTCAAGGAACTCCCTGGTCCTGCAGTTCGTGATACGTAACCAAACTAAGTTCTGATACGCACAGGTAACATGAACAAAGGGCAATAGGAAACTTGCGAGGGGTTTTATAAATGCCTTGCTGGTAAATATCATCATATTGAATCTCGAAACATTCGTTATCCAAGATCTTTGTACGACTTCGACTTGTGTATAAGATCAAGCCGATGGGTCTAATTATGGAAGTCAGCCATACAAAAGTGTTGTTACTACCTGGAAAGCTTGAGTCAATGACCTTATAAGAATTTAAGCTGCTACAGTTGGCATTTCAAATTGTCAGTTGGTGAGTGTATTGGATCTCAAGTCCCATCAAACGATCGACCAGAATGGAAGTTATTCAGGAACAAACTTCAGTATTCACCATTATCTCCTGTGGCTTATCAAATACCCAAACCCAAGGCTAATCAGGCCAGAGAAAATGTTTCGTGTCACGTTGATAGGTTAAAGAAATGGTTGGCTAATTGGCTGCAGCCGCAATGCATCATGACAAGAAAGAAGATTTCATTGTGCATATCTGATGGAAGCCATCCGTTCTGGCGGTGTGGTGGGGCACAGCGTGGACGGCTGCTAAAACAAACAACGTAAATCATAAATCCGATGGAAACAAGAGGAATTGAGATTCAAGGGCTGCCTGGCCAATTGCTGTTTGGCTCATCTTAACTTCTTTGTCTACGGTGCTGGGCGATCAAAGAGGCGTTCTCTGCGTCCATCTGGCGTCAAATATTCTTTCATGACTTCAGAGCCTCTATAAATTAATCTAGGTTTATATCATGCGCCGTCCATAGACACAACAGTTGAATATTAACTTTATAAGTCCAGACCAGTTTCCATCAGAAGCTTTTGAGGTCATTTCTTAAACTCAACCTATATAAAGTCAGTTGTCTGTCCTAGGTATGTCTTGATTGCAGCCTGGCAGAAAAGGAAAAAAATAAACAATACCTTACCTTACAGGAAAAAACACACTAGCCACGACCTGGTCACCGCGCACCCTTTGTTTTTTTTTTTCTTTTGGGCTCAAGTCTGTCCCCAAGTACCTCGCCTGCAAAGACTCGCCCACACGGTACTTATTCGCGACCCTCAACTTTGGGCTTCCCCTCCCCCACTTCACTTTCTGCTCCCATTCAGTCCCTCTCTTCTTTCTTTCACACCATTTGGGATCTTTGGAAATCTCGTCCCTTAAAGTGAAGCCACGGCCGATTAAAGCCAACGAACCTCGACGGCTCGTAGCTTTTTCACACTTCTTCTTCAAGTAGTACTTCATTATCGCTACTCTTGTCCACATCCTCCGACTGAGACCCAAACTTCTTTGTCGTCTGCTGGTGGACATCACCATCAGCAACCCTCCAACAACAATGTCTCTGCTCCCGCCCGACATCCACGCAGAGCTTTCACAGCTCCTGCAAGCTCTGCAGTCCCCCGACAACAGTATAAGATCACAAGCCGAGGAGCACCTGCAGAACAACTGGACTGCCACCCGACCTGAGGTCCTGTTGATGGGACTGGCGGAACAGATTCAAGCTGCTGGCGACAATGCGACACGATCTTTTTCCGCTGTAATCTTCCGCCGAATTGCTTCAAAAACCCGCAAGAATGAGGCCGGAGAGAGCATGGATCTGTTCATCTCTTTGACCAAGGACCAAGCCGCCGTCATTCGACAAAAGATTCTCGAGACCCTTGCCGCCGAGTCTGAACGCCTCGTTCGCAACAAAATTAGTGATGCTGTTGCCGAGCTTGCCAGACAATACACGGAGAATGGTAAGCTTTTCGAAGCCCTGGAGTAACCCTCCGTATCCTGGACCTTGGTTAACAACTCCTGCAATAGGCGATATTTGGCCCGAACTGCTTGGAGCTCTTTTCCAGCTTAGCCAAGCTCCCGAACCCGAAAAGCGAGAGAATGCATTCCGAGTCTTCGCTACCACTCCTGCCATCATCGAGAAGCAGCATGAGGAGGCTGTTCTTCAAGCTTTCCAGAAGGGCTTCAAGGACGAGGCCGTCATGGTACAGCACCCCTCCCGCGGGGCAGACTTTTCTGTCCCACATTGCATATCATGGCTCTGCTAACCGCAGCTATAGGTCCGGCTTGCGGCTATGGAGGCTTTTGCTTCATTCTTCAGGACTATTAGTAAGAAGGGACAGGCTAAGTACTACGCCCTTATTCCCGATGTCCTCAACATTCTACCCCCGATCAAGGATTCTCAGGATTCCGACGACCTCAGCAAGGCGCTCCTTGCTCTCATCGATCTCGCCGAGTCCGCTCCCAAAATGTTCAAGCCTCTCTTCCAGAACCTCGTCCAATTCAGCATCTCGGTGATTCAGGACAAGGAGCTCGAAAACATCTGCCGTCAAAATGCTCTCGAGCTCATGGCTACATTTGCCGATTACGCCCCCTCTGTGTGCCGAAAGGACCCCTCCTACACAAACGACATGATCACCCAGTGCTTGAGTCTCATGACGGATCTAGGCGAGGATGACGATGATGCTTCCGAATGGATGGCATCCGACGACGTGAGTTCTCAGAGAATGGAGACGCACAATTCATGCAACTAACTCACCTTGCAGTTTGACCAGGACGAGAGTGACCAGAACCACGTTGCTGGCGAGCAAACCATGGACCGACTTGCGAACAAGCTTGGAGGACAGACCATTCTGGCCCCTACTTTCAACTGGCTTCCTCGTATGATGACTTCCATGGCTTGGAGGGATCGACATGCTGCTCTGATGGCCATCTCTGCCATCTCCGAGGGCTGCCGTGATCTGATGATTGGCGAGCTTAGCCAAGTGCTAGATCTAGTGGTTCCCGCTCTCCGAGATCCTCATCCTCGAGTTCGATGGGCTGGCTGCAACGCTCTTGGTCAGATGAGCACTGATTTTGCCCCCAAGATGCAGACCGACTACTACGACCGAGTTCTCAAGGCAATCATTCCTGTCCTCGACTCGCCCGAGGGTCGTGTCAAGTCTCACGCAGCTGCTGCTCTTGTTAACTTCTGCGAGGAGGCCGAGAAGGCCACTCTGGAGCCATATCTGGACGAGCTCCTCTCACATCTTTTCCAGCTCCTTCAAAATGAAAAACGCTATGTCCAGGAGCAAGCTCTGTCAACAATCGCCACTATCGCCGACGCCGCTGAAGCTGCCTTCTCGAAATACTACGATACCCTCATGCCTCTTCTTGTTAATGTTCTCCAGAACCAGAGCGAGAAGGAGTACCGACTTCTGCGTGCCAAGGCCATGGAGTGCGCCACATTGATCGCTCTGGCCGTTGGAAAGGAGCGTCTTGGTCAGGATGCCATGACTCTTGTCAACCTTCTGGCCAACATTCAGGCCAACATTACTGATGCAGACGACCCTCAAGCTCAATACCTCATGCACTGCTGGGGCCGCATGTGCCGTGTTCTCGGTTCCGACTTCCTTCCATTTCTTCACAACGTCATGCCTCCTCTGCTGGAGCTTGCTGTTGCCAAGGCCGATATCCAACTGCTGGACGATGATGACCAGGTTGAGCAGATGCAGAACGAGGAGGGATGGGAACTTGTTCCCCTCAAGGGCAAGATGATTGGTATTAAGACAAGCACCATGGATGACAAGCACATGGCCATTGAGCTCCTGGTCGTCTACGCCCAAGTCCTTGAGGCTTCTTTTGCTCCCTATGTAGCGGAGATCATGGAGAAGATCGCTTTGCCTGGTCTTGCATTCTTCTTCCACGATCCTGTTCGATATATCTCTGCCAAGCTTGTTCCTCAGCTGTTGAGCTCCTACAAGAAGGCCTACGGCCCTCAGTCCAACGAACTCCGTGGTCTGTGGAGCGCGACTGTCGACAAGCTCCTCGAGGTCTTGACTGCTGAGCCTGCCATCGACACACTTGCTGAGATGTACCAATGCTTCTATGAATCTGTTGAGGTCATTGGAAAGGATTGTCTTTCTACAGAGCATCTCAGCCGATTCATCGACTCGGTACATTCTGCTATTGAGGACTACAAGGACCGTGTCGCCCAACGTCTGGAGGACAAGGAGGGAGCCACTGCAGAGGACGTGGAAGATGAGGCTGAGGATACTCTGATGGCTATCGAGGACGACCAGACCCTGCTTTCGGATATGAACAAGGCTTTCCATGCTATTTTCAAGAACCACGGTGCTGCGTTCTTGCCTGCCTGGGAGCGATTGATGTCCACATACGAGGGCTTCCTTACCTCAAACGATCCCACCCAACGCCAGTGGGGACTCTGCATCATGGATGATGTCCTTGAGTACTGCGGTCCTGAGAGCACACGATATGCCAACTACATCACCCAACCGCTCATCGATGGTTGCCGTGATCCTTCGCCGGCTATTCGCCAGGCGGCAGCTTACGGCATCGGAGTCGCGGCGCACCGAGGTGGAGCACCGTGGGCGCAGTTCTTGGGAGGCTCAGTCCCCTTCTTGTTCCAGGTCACTCAGGTTCCTGACGCCCGTAATGAGGACAATGTCTACGCGACTGAGAATGCATGCGCAGCTATCGCCAAGATTCTCCACTATAATGCAAGCACAGTCGGAGACGTGCAAAACGTGATTACGCAATGGGTAGAGACTCTACCCGTGACCAACGATGAGGAAGCGGCACCTTATGCTTATGCATACCTTGCGGAGCTGATTGACCAGTAAGTACTCTCCACCCTCAACATACTACCAGTATGTTGGTGTGCTCATGCTAACGCTTTGAACTTGTAGACGACACCCAGCTGTGGCGAACCAAGCGGGCAAAATCTTCGTGTATATCGCCCAGGCTCTCGAGGCAGAGACCCTCGTGGGACAGACTGCCAACCGGGTAGCACTAGCAACTAAGGGATTTCTGACGTCGACCGGCGTTGACCCTACGCCCCTTCTGCAGCAATTTTCTCCTGAGGCACAGCGAACCATTATGGGATTCTTCAACTAGGAGGAAGCTCGCAGATGGGCTGAGTCTTGCCACCCTTTCAAAAGTCAAATGAAGGCAGACTGGTTCATATCACCCAGCCGACTGTCGCCGGGTATCGAGATGGCCCTATAGGCCATTTCTGGAGAGATGTAGCGGCCTGTCTTTAGATGATGAACGCTACAAGATGCCAGCCATGGGCCTGGAGCCCGTTTAGGGGTCAGGCAATTCCAACAGGCGAATCCATAAAGCAATGGTGGCATCGACGTGACATGGAATTGCGCTTCATTCGGGCGAAGTGGATCGGGTTCGAATCAGCGTCCAACAAATGTCATGTCCCGAACATGGAAGAAGAGAAACAGAGGACGACGGTCCTAGGCGTCGGGGTAAAAATGAGAGGGCATTTTGTTTAGGCAGTCTATATCCTCAAGACCGCATGGCGCCTTTTTTTTTTTTGCAAAATCATTAGAGTTTACGAGTTAGGTTATTGATAACTGGTTAGTACCTCGTCGCGAGGGTTTTGGTCAGCAGCGGCAAGGCAGTCAGTCAGTCAGTCAGTCAGTCAGTTGGTCGGTCTGTCATATATATAGATGACGAGTTTTGTAGCGTACGGAATTATGACTCAAATAACCACACCGATTTCCTTCCCATGGCTGAATGATGGTGAAACAATGTATCCTGTGAGAAGTTTCAAGGTTAGATGGGCTGAGGGAGACATGGAATGAATGTCTTTACTCGCACGCAGGATGGTTGAGGCCCTTTCTTGACATCGGCTATACTCTAAGATTTGTCTCTGGCTTGACAAGTGAGTATTGATTGATTCAGCCACGATTCGCAATAGTACGATAAGGAGGGCGAATTGAGCCAATGTACTGCCCTACCTTGGTACCTATTCAGAGTGATAAAGGTTACTTAACTCTGTCGCCATCAGCAGAGCAAATACCATTTCAAAATGACAGACTTGTGAGCATTGGCACTTAAAACAAAGTTGATGATGGCGACAGGGTTGACGGGTACCTCGAGGTGAGAGCAAAGCCACATGGAGGGCGTGTTGAATATTGAATACTGTATATACCCTCCATCTGAATGATGAATGCTTGCTCGCACTTTGGTCTTACTTTTTCTGGCCTGCAAGGAACGGCGGGTGTGCTAGCGAATTCGAGACATTCTCATGCAGGGTATTACATCTCTAGGGACTTGCTTGCACGACTTTTTTTTTCTGATGAGGAAGATGCGTTTTTTGTACTAGATTTCAGATCTCGATAGTGATTTTGATTGACTGTGTGTTTCAATGCAAAAACTGGACATTTCCCAAAACGGAGATGATCTCTGGACTTGACAGGCACAGGGCATGTACAAAGAAAGCAACCCGAGAATGGATAAATTGTTGTGCAGCCTGGACAGAAGCGAAGCACAGGGTCTTCCCGTCCCAGCCCAAAAGCCCCAAGGTTCCCCTCCAGTAAACCCGAAGTTAGGTACCTAGGTTAGCAGTCATAGTGGATATTTTTATGTGACTGTATCTTCGAGCTACTTCTTTCCTTATTCGGAAAATGTTTTAAGGTTATGATGAGATCAAGTTATATCTTTCTATTAACATGGTTTTCTATCGGCTTCTGTTAAATACCTAACGTTATTGTAATACTTTGATTTACTCAGAGTCACCATCTGATGTTAAATCATTCCCCGCCCTCACTCAAGCCTAGCCTCTACTGGGCAATGCGCAAGCCTCTTGCACCGGAGTTACTCCTGGCGCCTCTCAATCAATGAGCAAGCTCAAGTCCCTCCTCCTCACCCCACATGCATGAGTCCCTACAGTCCTCTGTACAGTAGGGTGCAGTACAGTGCTGTGCGCTACCCTCGGTAGGGTAAAGTCTTGAGATGGATACCTACCTCTGTATCTTGGAAGTTCCTACCTCACCTTGAGTTGTGCAGCAGATTTTGATTTGCTTCTTGCAGCACCTGCACATGTGAATCTTGAAAGGGTTCGACCGAGCCGCAGAAAGCAGCAGTCACCAGTCTCTTTCTTGAGCTTGTAGTCCTCAATCTCCAGCTTCCATTAGCAGTAGTCCGTTATCCTTCGGCCTGTCTTGCTTCCCACACTAGCCACACTAGCCACACCATGATCCATCCATCCAATCTAATCCAATCCCACCTTTGACTGCCTGCTCTTGCCTGGCCTAGGTAGGCGTGGCATGGCATGGCATGGCGTGGAAGGTAAGGCAAGACAAGGTAGGTACTTTCCCCCACCCACACACACCCAAAGCAGCCCGGCCCAGCCCAGCCCAGGGCATCTGCTTCTCACGCATTCCCATTCTTCTTCTGCCATACCATCCTCTACTTCTCCATCCCTCTCGTTTTCCCCTTCAAACGACATAGCGAATCTTCCCCCCTCGACTTTGACGCGATCCAGCCTCGAACGTAGAATCTGTTTTTCTCCCGCCTCTTCTCCTGACCGCAAATTTCTCGCATTTCCGAGCTTTCCATCACCGATTTTTGAGCCATAGTCCAATCCCGAACAGTACAAATTCGACCAAGCACGAAATATCCACCCCCGCGCATTTACCATCTGCGATTATCCATACCCTGTCCCTCTCCTCGCTCGGTCGCTTGATCTCTCCGGCCTGATTTACCACGTCAAACCATCGACCCGACCCGACTCGACTTGACATAACCCATCTCGACCCGCCACGGTTCTACCATATTGCGACTTCTCTCACCTCGTCATATTGTTGCGTTTGTCACCAGTCTTCGCTTCTTGTTCCGCTGCAGCTAGGGTCTCCTAATCAGGTCGCCAACCTTTCCGACGCCTCGGTAATCGAATCAGGACACCACCTGTCAGACTTCGCGCGATACGTACGGGACAACACCCGCTCACCACTTCCCTCGAGCGCCTGGCTAGGCCGTCCAGCCAGATGCTGTCGCTATGGATGGCTACTACTCTCCACATCAGCAGCAGCAACCATCTCAGCAGTTCCAACAACCTCGAATGCAGCAGAACCAGCAGAACCACATGCAGCACAATATGAACGACCCAACCTTCTATCAGGGAGGAGATTCCCTCGACGATATTGTGCGCGATAACCAAGACAAGCTATACCGCCGACAGAGCATGCCCCAAGCCTTCACTACCCCTATGGGTCAGTTCCAGATGAATCAGCAGCAGCAGCAGCAAGGGCAAAGGCGGATGTCTTCAGTCGGCAACGGTGACATGATGACCTTCGGAACCGATAACGCCGACCTCAACTCGTACCAATTTAACCAACCACCCATGGGAGGGGGATTTCCCACCATTAATACCTCCATCGGCATGGACCAAATGGGCAATTATATGACATCCGACCCTAATGACTATTCGACCATATCCCCTGATATGATGAGTTCTATGATGCCCTCTACCTTTGCTAGCATGAGCGTTGGAGCACAAATGGCCGGCAACGCCTCACCAATGAACCTCTACTCACCGTCCATAAGCCAGTTCCCACAAGGCCAACTGACCCCTCAAGTTCCGGTTGGTAACGACTTCTCCATGGATCTTTCTCCAGATGCCGGCTCTATGAATATAAACCAATCCAACCCTCCCACGACGACCCCGATACCTGCTCCCACCAACAACGCCATGGATACCATAGAGGATTCAGGCGACAGTATGATGAACCATCAAACTTTCAACAACATGAATGCTGGAGATAGCAACCAAAACTTACCTGCACTTTCTCGCCAAGTCTCAATTGCCTCCGGTTCTGTTGTTTCACCTCCACAGCAACACTCACACGGAGCCATGTCCTCTTCAACCGTTACTCATCCGACCAGCACTTCAGTTGCTACGACCCCATCAACTGGCGATGCCCCGAGGGACTCAAAGGAAAAGACGATATACTCAAAGAGTGGATTTGATATGCTCAAGGCTCTGTGGTTAGTCGCTACCCGTAAGAACCCGCGCATACAACTCGGCGCTGTCGACATGTCCTGCGCCTTTGTCGTCTGCGATGTCTCCATGAACGATTGCCCTATTATATACGTTTCCGACAACTTCCAAAACCTTACCGGTTATAGTCGTCATGAGATTGTCGGCCAGAACTGCCGCTTTCTGCAGGCCCCAGATGGCAAAGTCGAGGCGGGCTCCAAGCGGGAGTTCGTTGATGATGGAGCCGTCTACAATTTAAAGAAGATGGTTCACGAAGGCAGGGAGGTTCAACAGAGTCTTATTAATTATCGAAAGGGTGGAAAGCCTTTCCTCAACCTTCTTACTATGATCCCCATCCCGTGGGACACTGATGAAATCAGATACTTCATTGGCTTCCAGATCGACCTTGTTGAATGCCCCGACGCGATCGCATCGAATCAGGACCTTGGTGGTGTAAAGGTGAACTACAAACACAGCGATATTGGCCAATACATCTGGACACCACCGCAATCCAGCCAGTGGGAGCCCGATAACGGTCAGACGTTAGGCGTTGACGATGTCTCCACCCTGTTGCAGCAGTTCAGCCCCAAGGGTCTCACCTCTGACTGGCACAAGCAATCATGGGATAAGATGCTCCTCGAGAATACCGACGATGTGGTTCACGTTCTCTCGCTCAAGGGTCTCTTCCTATATCTCTCTCCGTCTTGCAAGAAGGTCCTAGAATATGAGGCTGCGGATTTGGTTGGCAACTCACTTTCAACAGTATGTCATCCATCTGATATCGTTCCTGTTACACGCGAGTTGAAGGACACAACAACCGGAAACCCTGTCAACATTGTGTTCCGAATACGCAGAAAGCACAGTGGTTACACTTGGTTCGAAAGCCATGGTTCACTGTTTGTCGAACAAGGAAAGGGTCGAAAGTGCATTATTTTGGTAGGCCGCAAGCGACCAGTGTTTGCTCTAAGTCGCCGCAATCTTGAAGCGAATGGTGGTATTGGTGACAGCGAACTCTGGACGAAGCTCTCGACATCGGGTCTGTTCTTATACGTCTCTTCGAATATCCGATCTCTCCTCGACCTTCAGCCTGATAGCCTGGTAGGAACCAGTATACAGGATCTTATGCGAAAAGAATCACGGCCCGAGTTTGGGCGAACGCTGGAAAAGGCGAGGCGTGGAAAAATTGTCACATGCAAACACGAGGTCCAGAACCGTAGGGGCCAAGTGTTGCAAGCCCAGACGACTTTGTACCCGGGTGACGCCTCCGAGGGCCAAAAGCCATCGTTCTTGCTTGCCCAGACAAAGCTTCTCAAGGCATCATCACGTAACCTGGCTCCCGCTAGCACCGGTTCCAGATCTCTCGCCGCAACCCCGAGATCCAGTAACGGCACCGAAAACCATGCCACGGGCCATATTTCACAGCCTGCCGGTGGTGCGTTAGCCCCCGGTAGCCAAGACGCTGCTTTGGCCTCAGAGGACAACATTTTTGATGAATTGAGAACGACGAAATGCTCTAGCTGGCAATTCGAGTTGCGGCAGATGGAAAAGGTTAACCGTATTCTTGCTGAGGAACTTGGCGGCCTGCTGTCCAGCAAGAAAAAGCGTAAGCGAAGAAAGGGCGTTGGCAATGTCGTGCGAGACTGCGCCAACTGCCACACGAGAAACACGCCCGAATGGCGAAGAGGACCCAGTGGTCAAAGGGATCTTTGTAACAGCTGTGGTCTTCGGTGGGCCAAACAAGTACGCCTCTTCTATCTTCTATCAATTGTGACATTCATTAACATTTTCATCAGACTGGTCGGGTTTCTCCACGCAATTCTTCACGCGGGGCTAACACAGCAAATGGCGATGCTCGAAGCAAGAAGTCCAACTCTCCCTCGTCACCACTGCATAAAGAATTGTCAGCCGACAACTCCAAAGCGCAAACACCTAAGGGTGAGAGCGGCATAAACCCAGCCCAACTCACGAAGCAAAAGATAGAGAATGGAACATCAGCACCCAGCGGTGCCCCTTCAGCAACAGGGGTCAAATCATCGGCCGGAATGCCACCACTAAGCCATTCATCGATGTTGGGCGTCGGGCAGGCCTCGTCGATGGCTTCGATCCGAGAAGAACGCGAGACGAGTCAGCCTTGAGCAACAAGCATAATGCATTTCCCTCTCTTGATGTTTTCGATCCTCGATGTTGCAACTTGGGGTAAAGGATCTACGGAGCGTGGTGTCTTGATTAAACGGCATTTGTGATACCCGCCACTTTTCTTTCTTCGCGCTGGCCTCTATTTCAGACCTGAGGCTCATGGATTTAACAAAACATTCGTGACACCCGTGACTTGGGGCTAACATGATGGCGCTAAGCATAACGAGCTTGTCTGCTTTTATTTATTTGGAAGAGAGATATAACCTCTCCGTGGTGTACGAGGCTCCGGGATTTTGGAATTGGGAATAGACACGATATACCTACAACAACATACACGAGGCGTTAAGGAATGGGATGGCATGACTACGACTTGGACAGATCTTCCTGACCCCGGCCCCTGATACAGATTCTGCATTTATCGACAACGTCCATGGGCCGGGTGGGCCCGGCTTTGGTCTTCATGCTTCTACTCAACATAGAGGGCGGCCTGAATTTATTCGAATGCTAGTACGGTTCCATGTTTAGCACGGCAGGGTAAGCATTGTCAGGAGCATGTAAGGGGCATGTGGATTTGTACAGTGGTGTTAGTTGTATTTAGGGAGGACTTTTGCGTACATATACGTACTACAGCAATAGCGAGGCGAAGCATGGTCTAAAATAAGGAACAGATATGACAATTTGGGTATTCAGCTTTGATGTGATGACTCGTCGATGTACAGCTTGGCCACATTACCCAAGTAAGGGGGAGGCTAGTAAGAAGGGTAACCCATGGTAATAATCCAACGCCTAACCCCCTGATTAGTGGTGAAGGGTAATGGATAGCAATCTAGAGGATCCCAGAATACATGTGAGTCTTAGCATTACTATACCCTCAAAACCATATAATCCTTTTTGTTTTTGCACGTAGTTGGCACTACTAAATAAATTTACACCTACCTACCCTATAATGCCAACACCACCATTAATTTTACGAAGTACCTGGACTGGTACACTTGTACCCTTTGAGAACGAAGGAGAGGCAACATGTCATCAGTGGCATATGATGTGCAATCTTCTGACTTAAGGGTACAACCACCACAAAAGACAGATGATGGGCTGACGTAGGTGGCTTCGCTGCTGATAAGGCTTGCACTTGGATTGTGGCTGCATCGACAAGATAAAGACACTTCAGCATGAAATTTCGGTCTTGAGATACAGATTTCAAGAAGTTAGGATATTTGATTGTGCTAAAGACTGTTACTAGTGATACCTCTTTTGTCTGCCACAGATCCTCTGACTGAAGACTTGAGATGGCATAACTGGGCATCGATTCTGTCGAAACACACATCAGAGGTCCGTGGCTGAAGATAGAGAATAACTGAATGACTCTAGTAGATTGTGAATAGATCAGATCTATCGAGATATGTGCAATTCTAAATTTACCCGAGTCAAATGGGTATAAGCCAAGATTTCCTCAAAGCTCGTCCTTTGTATGCACTTCCTCCTCCATCGTCCTGCTCTTCGCGTTCTTCTCATCCTTACCTTCAATACCCTTGCGACGACGATCCAGCGCCGCAATCTCCTCATCGTAGACAGTCCATTCTGGGACCTGCCTCCTTGCGCGATCGAGTTTGGGCTCCTTTGTCTGAGGGTTGTTACACAAGTCAATGGTACGCGCCTGGGCCAGACTCTCGTCGCTGCACCACGTCTCACACCAGAGCCACTCTTGAGGAAGACTGTGGATTGGGATTGTGAATTGCATGTTGTTTGGCAGGTCCTGGTCCAGATTGGACAAGCTGTTAGGGTCAGCTGAGAGTGCGTGGTACTGCTGTCGAAGGCGGTCTCCTGCTGCCAGCTGGCGGAACCGGTTAAGGTCAACCACGTAGAGGGCTGAGATATGGTACGGTAGCCCACGAAGATAGTTCGCCCAGTAGCCCTGTTTCCAGAATCTGAAGCCTTCCATTTCAGTGCGCGAGTCGCACATGGGTGTGAAACCGTACGGAGCACCCTCTAGGTCATGGTTCACAAGGTCAATCATATCAGTGCGAACGATTTGATCAGCATCGACAAAGATGACCTTGTCCAGGGAAAGCGGAAACAATACATCAAGGAACAGGATCTTGTATCCCCAGATCTCACGCTGCTTCTCTTTTTGTTGGCGAAGCCAGTGAGGCCACTTGTAAGTAACCATCTCGTACTTGAAACCATACTCAGCAGCCATATGAGGAATGAATTCCTTGAACGAGGGCGATAAGAACTGCTCAATGAACCAGAACTTGACGGTGTGCTTGGTGTTGCGCATAACCGATACCATCATGATGTTGAGCATGCGCTCGTATAAGTGACCACTGGCAACACTGAAGATGTTGATTTCAGCATGTTCTTCGGACGAAATCTCCTTGGGCGACTTGGCCACTCCGAGAAGACTTTCGGCAAACTTGAGGCCCTTAGCAACAATTCCGCTGTCTTCACTATCTGGAGATTCCAGTACATCGACTTCTTCCATTCCTGGCTTGCGGTTGAGACGAGGATATAGGGTCGTACCCTTGAAATCCATGAGGGCGATTTCCGTGCCTTCGTCTCCGGGAACAGGAGCATATCCGTGAGCACCGACACTCTCGATGGTGAAGATTTTCGACGTTCGGCCTTGCTTGAGTTGAATATTGTAGAAACCAGGGTTTGCCTTGAACTGGAAGTAACCCAGATTGGCCATGACTATGGTATCTGTGATAAGGGGATCCTTTTCCGTCGCCAGGGTCAATTGTGCACCTCTTGGTGCACCTCGCTTGCCATCCCTGGAGTGACCTTCAATCAAGATATTCTCCAGCTCGTAAACCACATCGATGTCGGCTTTGACAGAGCTCAGCTTGATGTTGTCCAGGTCCTGTACAGATTCTTTAGCAGCCACTAGCCAAGCCGGAGGTACATCCATGCCTGCTGTTAACAGAGCCTCAGAAGGAAGGCCTTTGAAAGTCGCCTTAGGGCTCTGAACATGGCCAGCCTGATCAAAAGAAGGCTTTGAGTCAAGTACGTAACGGAAGAATCGCGTAATGGGGAGTTCTCCGACTACTTCCTTCGGGTTCATAAAAAGCTTCAGATACACTCCATCGAGCTCAGACAAGACCTTGAGAATGGGTGCCCATCTCTGACCTTGCTCACTGGTAGGATTCAGGAGACCAGCGATATGAACACTTGCAGTTTCGGGGTTGCCGACTTCAATAGCACTATGAGTTGAGTTCCAAGTATTGTACATGGAGCTTCGAATGGACGGGGCCGACTCGAAGATGCCTTGAGGGAGATCAGAAATAGTAGAGAGTGCCGTGATCGAGGTGAGCTTGGCGGCTGCAATGGGATCCGAAAGCTTATCTTCGAAGCCAAGGTCCTTGATCGCAGCATAAACAGGAAGGATCCTGTTTCGCTGCTCAAATTCCAAGAGCTGCTGCAAATCGTCCTCCTTGAAAGACACATCGGACGGCAGGGGACCGACGACTCGGCCGTTGAGGAGTAGCCCCTTTGTTCCAGGTAGAATGTTTGAAGCAGAGAGGAAGTCGGCAAGCGCAGTACCAAGGCCATCATCTTCAGCTGTCCAGGACGCCTCAAGAATGGCTTTCAGATCATCCTTACTCTTCATCTCAGCAAGCTTGCCTTCGTTAAGCTTGAAAGCGCCATTGATGGCATGAGCCTCTGCGGATGACGGCGGGTTGTGAACAAGGTCAAGCCGAACGCCAGGATTCTTTCGCTTGAATTCAAGGGCAGCAAGAAGAAGATCTTGCCCGTCATCGGCTGCAAGGTCGGCGACGACTGTGAGCACAGCCCAGCTTTCTTTGGAAGCCTTCGAGTCTGAGGGAAGGACGGCAATGTTGTTGAACAGTCCCGCAAAGTCCTTATGAAGCTTGTTGACATCAACAACGCGAAGGGCCTTCTCATCATCAGGAAAGATGTATGTGTTGCGCTTGGAAAGAGCGTTACGGAGGAAGAGATCTGAAACAGGCGTCCCCTCTTCAATTTGTCCAAAGTACACAGCCTTTTGGATTGCTTGTTGATCCTCGGTTAATCGCTGACCCATGGCCTGAACCCACGACTTCTCACGTGGAATAGCCAAACCATTTACAAAGACAGGACGCACGGCAGTGTCAGCATTGAGTCGGCTAGCCCAAGCCTTGCTTGCTTTCACCTTCTGCTTATAAGTCTCGGCTTCGAGAATCTCAGCCAATGTCATTTTGGTGGCTCCTGGTAGTGTTTCTCGTCCATCAATAGCCCTGGTGAAAGCCTTCTTGTTGGCTGCGCCCTCTGGCCCCTCTTCACTCTCTTGCAGATAAGTAATGAGGGACTCGAATCCGTATGTTTCCATCAAATGATAAACAACCTTGGCCTGAGCAGCAGAAGCAGGCGTAGTGGCCAAGGGGAGTATGCCGAACCTCAAGGTGACACCGCGTTGCATGAACTGGGCTAGTTGACCAAATGCTCGCCCATCCTCAATATTGGTGAAGTCAACTGGTGCCACAATGTGGAAGAGGTTAAGAGCCACCTGCGGAAGTTGTCCAGGATATGTACGCTGAAGGAGCTATGAGGTCGTTAGTGGTATGATCTCAAGAGGTAATCTTCTTACATACTGCTGTCAAATCGCTTGGGAGCTTCTGGTATCGAGCGTCCTTCTCGAGGTCATTCAACCACAAGAGCGCTTTGCCATCCTCCAATCGATCTGTCCAGTCGAACCTGGGTGGTTCATCCTCAGCCTTGGAACTGGCAACTTCAGAATGTCCAAGAAGTGAATTAGCCTGTTGACCATTGAAACCAAGATCACGGACCCCGTCGATCAGCTTGCGCTCACGGCGAATCATCTCAATGAGGGTAAATGGCTCAATTTGACGCTCAATAAGTTGGACACCATTCATCCAGAGAAAGTTGATGCCACTGGGAATACCGGCAGCAACATTTTTCTCCTGCTCTGCAGCAAACTCCTTTGCGACTTGATGAGTGGCAATTGATGCTGAGAACTTGGGGAAATCCTGGGTCGATTTGACTAAAGCATCGAGAGGATTTTCACTATTTAGAATGAACGAAGCAGTCTTCAGGCCTAAAGATGCTAGCTCGGACGTTGAGAGAGGCTTCAAATCAGCAACCTCTTCATCTGTGTCAAGATCGACGTCGGCTGCGGCAGGTTTCTGTTTGCTTTCCTGGCTGGCTTCACGATCATCAATAACGATGTAGTCAGTTCTCTTCAGGTCCAGCTTCACACCATAGCCGCTCACAGACAAAGAAGTATGAGGAGCCCCTGCACTTCGACGATATCGCAGTCTATATGACATATCTCCCTGCTTGGCAGCTTTGGAGAGCGCAACGTGGAAGGGGCCGAAAGAGGCAGATGTTGGGTCCGCATAGAGAATGACATCCTTTCCAAGCCCCAGGACTCGGTCAAACGGCAACAGGTTGGCTTGCCTATTCTCGGGTTAGGGTCGTGATGTCCAAAGCAACCGAAACAGCTTACCTTGCGGAGAGATCACCTTCCACGGCTTTATCGAGAGTTTCTGAGCAGTATTTCTTGCTATCAAGCAACGCCCATGTCGAGCAATCCTCGTTGGTGTCTCCTTTGGGTACTGAATCGACAGCTGTAGTGTAGTATTGGTAATGTGCTTCTATTCTTGGTGCGGCAGCGCGTAGTGAAAGAGCAAGCTTGAAGGTTGAGAGGCCTTCTGGTTTAGTTATGTGCCCATCTTGCTGAAGAACCTCGAGGAAACGGTCGTATAGCTCTGCATCTGAGTTGGCTGATTGAAAGTGACCACCAGCAATCCTGTCAAGCAGAGGGAAGTATGCTGTTGAGTTTTCCTCAGCGGCAGTTTCTCTATTAGATGTCAGAAGCAATATCATAGGTAGCTCACCAGAAATAGTATAAGCTTACAGAAGTTCAAGCAAATATGGAGCACGAGGGAACGCTGCGTTCATTCCCACGTTGACTGACG